TTGGGGCTCCGCCTTCTTTGATGTGGAAATCTTCTCTGGTTCATTTTCTTCTGTTCAGTCCGTCGATGTCAGATGCAAATAGAAACACATAGCAAATATTTACATATTCCACAAAACATTGTTCCCAGCAGTGGGGAATACTTGTTCACTGACACAGTCGCTGTCTACTGCTGTAACGCACAACATGAGTCTAAAATCGCTTACTCTCTGAGGAGGTCCTTTTGAGTAATGTGTGAAGTATGAATACAATCTGGACATACTCCACCATGTTTCCATTGTCATGTGACCTACCAGCTTTGTTGCCATTCACAAATCCTCTCCCGTGGCCTCATGGGATAGTAAAGTACCCATTAGATGTGCACTTCAAAATCTCACCTGAAAATAGTAGGTCATCTAGGTACTTTTTGCCTGTTGTTTCATAAATACTGTGAATTTGGACATTCATGCTACTCTTTTTGTGCTTACTACATAGGGAAGTATATGATTTTAAACCAAAACAATTTGTTTTGGTGAACAAAATCAAAAGAGTCACTGGGATGCAACTAGCTATTAAGGCTCTTCTAGGATGTGTAATAGTTTGGTAATCGAGCATGAACACACTATTAGTCATGTCACTCCAGAATCTTAGAACGGAATAGATTTATCTTGGAATCAAAGATTCGATTCATTTTTAGGGTCGACTCCCACCCGGGCTCTCCGAGAAGATAACAGGCAAGCTTGTACATTTGAGGACAGAGACATATGTGCAAGGGCAAGAACATCCATCTATTCCCAGTGTATTTGGAGAACCGAGAGATAAATATATCTGTGCGAGAACCCTTTTCAGTTTGTGTATGTAAATCAAGGTGAATTCTTTCGGTGTCCCATGCTAATGTAGAGACTAGGTCGGCCATGGCATTTGTAATGGAGGATGACAGGTTATTTGTAGTGGTGTATCAGCCACTGATTATTACTTTTCTATGTGGTAAGAGAGAGCCATTGAACCATCACTGTGTTTGTGCTCATATGACTCTATCTAGCATGCTCATTTGCCTTCTGTGTTTAACATATTTGGCGAATATGGATGAATATGCACAGAATATAAATTAAAAGCAGATAAATATCTTTTAAATGAGAGACAATCGCTTTGCTTCAGCAGGTCCATCCTTCAATGTGTGGTTTTATGTCAGGCAGCAAAAATAGATTTTCATACATAATTCATTATTAACACACTCTATTATTCTGAAGTTATGCATGTGCATTTATCAATGCAGTGTGGGATTTTTGCTATGAATCATACTTAGCATTTATTTTATGCTAGGGATGTTAGGAACATGTTTGAATGCTCTAATATCCATGTTGGTTCCAGCGTCATGAGATGTAGCCCATTGCACAATTATACTGAGATTGTGATGATTGACCTTCATGTGACAAGGTCACCTTCAGCTCAAAAGCAGCACTGAATGTTTATCTAATTGCTAATTATTTTTGCAGACACATTACTGATTTGGTTTTAGCGGTGCACAAATTAGCACCTATGCCAAAAGTGAAAACCGAAGGTTTTAGGCTTATATCTCCCAGTTCATCAGCATTTGTAGAATAGCCAGTGTTTTATTTATTTATATTTTTTTTGGCATAGCATCATCTTTCATCTTTCTTGTCCCTCTCTTCCTCTTCTGTGAATTCATCATGAGAGGTATACAGAACCTGACCAAGTTTGTTTTTGCACCTCAGCAAGATTCCTGCTAAACTGAGCCAAGATATGCCACATCTGGGGCTTAAATAAGACTGAAATTTACACTCTCTATCTTTACTAGAGACACATGCAAGTCTGTTAAAACACCATCTGCAATAAACTTGAATGGTTTTTATGTTACACTCTTTAAAATAAAGGTTCTTTATTGGCATTGATGATTCCATGAAGAAACTTTAACATCTATGGAAACTTTTCATTGCACAAAAGTTTCTTTATAGTGAAAAAAGATTATTTATATTATTCAAATGTTCTTTATAATCGTCCTTTTTAAGAACTGTAAACTGAACTTTCTTTGAGGAACCCAAAATGGTTCTTCTATTTTTGGAACTGTTATTTTTAAAAGTGTAAAATCAGAATGGTGTATGATTAAATGCAGTAATAAAGTAAAATAATCTGCCAAATAAAACACTTATTTATGTATGGAGATTGGGCCTATGTTGTGACAACAGGAACATTTTAAAACTGAGAATGATTTTCATGACACACATTTTTCTGACAGAACTCCTGAGGAGGCAGAACAGTAAAATATGAGTATATCTCTAGCATATCTCAGCACCAACTGGTCACGTACAAGCTCCCATGATGCATTTTTTTCTCCATTGTTTCTATAGCCAGTGCTGCGGCAAAGCTTTGATGACGGAGGTTTTTGTGCAGTTTTCTGTTAGAATAGATACTTTTTCCTGACTAAACATCTTTTTCCTCTCTTTAACAACACAAAATGTTTTTTTTTTCTTTGTGGATGTATGTAACAAAAAGAAGCACAATTAGATGATATAGTTGTAAACTGGGTTAATTATTAATAATGTAATAAATATGAAATATCTGAAATATTAACAGTAGTTTTTGGATCTTTTTCAAAACTCTGAAATTAGATTTTTTGTGTGTGAATTTTATCCTGTAAGCTAAAATGTATAACATGATTATTTTAAATAAAATAATATAATAAAATAATTTATATAATGTTATGTCATCATTGTCACGTTCTAGGAGAATTTGGCAGAGAGAGTCCAGAGAAGTTCGTAGGAGTGAACGGTAGACCGGACAGTGAGTGACTGTGCTGTGTGTGTATTTGTAGTGTGGCTTGATTGGTGACAGCAGGTGCGGGTGATCAGAACTCAGGTGACTGTGATCGGGTAATTATCCTGGATGGTGACTGAAGTGACTGTGATGAATCCCTGACAATCATATAGTAGGTGTTATTCAAACAAGTAAACACAATGAAATCACACTGGTAAACATACATTTCATTAATAGTTTTGTGTTTTCTTAATCGATTTTAATCGAATAATTGGATTCGTTTGAACAAATCAGATCCAGTCCTTTTTCTGAACTGGGTCAACCGAAAAGGTTTGATTCAAAAGAATGACTCATTCAGGAATCCACAACATCGCTACTTTTCACATGAACGCCACAGTAGAGCTAGTGCAGGGTTTTCGGCGAATAACTTACATTTTAATCTTTTCCTTACACAAAGCTATCATAAGGCTTCTGAAGACTTTGAATATGCATGAGTCGTATGGACTGCTGTTATGGTATGTTCAGTGTTGGGAAGGTTACTTTGGAAATGTAATAGGTTACAGATTACAAGTTACCCTACTTAAAATGTAATAAGTAGTGTAACTTTTCAATTACTTTATTAAAGTAATGTAACTGATTACATTTGATTACTTTTTGATTACTTTTCTAAATTTCTAATGTTTTCAACTGTTAATCATTTTCAAACATGTAAACCAGGCAGGGTTAAACTTACAATATGTGCTCAACACTGATAACTGTCAGACTTTCTAAATCCTTCATCACTTGAATTAAGATTATAATATTTTAATTTTAAAGGAGACATTGGATGCAAAATATCTTCATTTGCATATAAATGTGTCTTAGCAGTGTGTGGACACAACCACCCTACAATGATAAAAATGCACTCCTTTTTTTTTAATCCCCCAAAAACCTAACAGGCTCAATTATCAAGCCATTTGATTTTGGAAAGAATACCAGCACTCTCTTCGACCTTCAATACCATGACTGAGGTGAGACCCTTGAGCAAGGCACGGTGTTATTTATTTACTTAAGGTTATTTATGACCTTCCTTTATTGTGATAGGACAGATCAGACATGACAGGAAGTGAAGTGGGAGAAAGAGAGGAGGGGGGCAGGATCAGGAAGGTCCTCAAGTCGGGATTCGAACACAGGACATCCAAAGCACAATGGCACTATATGTCAGCGCACTGCCCACAAGGCTATCAGTGCCAACACACTTTTTATTTTTTATGATTACAGAAGAGAGGGGCGGGGTGAGCAAAGCACATTGGCATGTAAAGAGATATGCACCAAAATGAGTCGCTGTGAACAGAGCTGTTTTTGACCAGGTAAAAAGGGTGTTGTTTTACACGACCACTGAGACCATTTCAAGAATACCCTAAAGAATAATACCAACTTGTGGAAAATGGGCATCCGATTTCCCCTTTGAAGCACAGC